CCCATATGTTTGCAAAAAATGTATACCTTGAGGTCTTGGACAACAGTAGCCCACAGCGGCATGAGATCGAGATCCCCATCTCGTCCGACGACATTGGTAGCCGCATGATGGATGTTGTGCTGCTCTTTCCATCCACCCGAAGAGAATCCTTGCAGGAAATTGCCCACGAAATAACTATAATTTGAGGCAACTTGTTGCATAGCCCGGTACTTCAGTAAGTGCGTAACTGGGCTACCTTGCGAGGTCATTATGCCAATGGTCTTTGAAGAGCTGATTATGTGCGAACTCATGAATAAGCCATCCGAGTTGCTGCCATGCAAGACCCATAAGCACAGCTGACGTTATATACCAACCATTAAATTGTAGGTAGACGGCTGTGCCGATAATTAGCAGAGCTTCAATCACCTGGAATCTTTCATTCTGAAAACCATTCGTTATAGAAGAAAGAAAAATTATCAGAAAAATGGGTATCGCGTCACTTGCTGAAACTCCGAATACAGTGGCATCGTAGCAATCCAGCGGGGGTATGACAGTTGGCACGGAGTGAACCCACCGGCGAATTTTATCACCACTGACTGTTTTCTACTTGGACACGCAACCTGGGCTCATTCCACGCCTCCTGACACCGCCCACGGGATCGCGACGAGATTAACGCGACGATGATCCTTCCAAATGTCCCAAGTCTGCCAGGCTCACCTTTCTACAGTAGAACAGCATACTGCCATCCATGAGACCTTCGTGACGAACTCGGAGTCGGAGCTGATCAAAACTTTTGGTGATCGATGCGCTCTTCTCTTCAGTTATGTCAAATTCACCCATGTTCACGTCCTCGTAGCCAGGTAGCATCTCCTCCTGAATTCGTCATACCATCATAAAATTTAGCACAAATTCAGTACAAACGACAAGGTTAAGCGATAAAGAATCAGGTGAACCCTAAGAAGTTTGGAAAATCTAGAATGATTATAGATAGGTTAGGAAGGGGGGGGTCATATTTTGCGAAAACTCCTCCCCCAATGGCAGGACGTGAGCCGGAGACAAAAACACCTCTCAGTACGTGAGCACAGGTGTACCTATCGATTTGAAGAGTTCGATGTTCACAGCCAATCGATCCCAGTAATTGTAACTACCATCCACACGCACGGTATATTACAGCCTTTATACCTCTTCTCCCCAATCGCGCATTTTCTCAAGTCGCAGATTTCCCAATTCGGTGGCTCCGAAGGCGACAGTAGGTATAGCAATCTAACTGTTCGTGCCTGTTTCTTTGAGATAACGGATTCCCCACAACGATAGGTGCACTTTCCTTGCATTCGCCGGCGTCACCAATGGCGCATACTCCGCTATCGCAAAGTATGAACCTTGCCTTGTGCAAGATTATCCCCAGAAATGTGACTATTGACCCGGTGAGGGAGCAAAGGGCAAAGTATGTGAATGGATGCTTTGTGAGATTCATGGTAACAGCAGCAAGTACACTCTAGTTCTCTGCGGACGGTTGGGCGTGTCAGCCAGTATGAGTGTGTCACCCTATCAGAGCCGTTCTCTGCCTTCTTGTTGAAGAGCGCATGCGACAAAAAGTGGTAGAAAACGAGTAATACGAAGGATATGATACAGTATTGTCACTTGCCCGCTTCAACAACTGGTGTAGAACGAGTTTGGCACCGCGCCAAACGCAGCCGCACTGACACGCCCAACCGTCCGCAGCGAACTACAGTATAATTACAGCCGTGAAGGAATATGTGAAATTTAATTAGGGCATGAGTCGGAGGTAGTGGCAAGTGGCACGCTGTGCATGCGATCCGAGGATCAATTCGTGGATCGGCTCCCGCCATAG